TTGTGTAAATGTTGACTTGACAAAGCCTTGTCTCAAAGCAAGGTTTTGTTTATATATATATATATATATATATATATATATTCCTGTCATATATCTAGGCTGGCAAACAGACAATCACCCACACATGCGTACACAAACACATAATCTACTTGCTGTCATTTTGTCTCTGGCTTTGACGGGAATATGTTTAAATTTTTACTCTTGTTTTTGTTTGGCAATCTCTGTTGTCTGATGACAGATGTAAGGATAGACACTTGGGCACCAAATAGATGAACAGAAGTGGTGTTAGAGGAACCACAAGCTGATACACAAAAAAAAAAGTGCCAAATACTTTTTCACAAGGATAGGCTGTTAATCACTTTCTGGTAGGATCAGTGTTGAATGGTAGATTGACAGGATTATTGTAATTTTTTGAATCAATTTAAGACAGAAAAAAAATTTCTAGGTGTAGTGTAGTGTGTACTTTTTTTTTCCACTAGCGTAATGAAATGTAATTTCAAACAATTTAATTTTTTCCTGGACTCTTCTGTCTGCCGTTACTCACGTAAATAGGTATCCCGCCCCCAAACTCCATTCACACTCACAGCGTTCAACTTTTTGTGGTAAATTAACCTATGAATGAGCTATTTATAGTTTTCTTTGTATGTTAAGTAAGGGATCATGTACATCCAGCCGGTTGTTATCATAGAATAACCCCCGACAGGGTGATCAGGTCTTGTATCACCCTGAAGAGGGTTATCAGAATCAGAATTAGCTTTATTCGCCAGGTGTGCGCAAACACACAAGGGATTTGTTGTGTTTTTTTAAGGTATTCTGCGATAACAACTGGCTGAATGTACATTATCCCACTTATTACATGGCTACTTGCCTCATAAGTAAATAATTACACACAAAATATTGATTTGAGTTTAAATATTTCCTTGAACACAGCAGTTGCGAGCAAGCAGAAACGGTGCAGTCATACCACTTATTACACAACATTTCACCACATAAATAATTAAGGCGATAAAAGATATTTATTTAAGACAAAACTGTTTTAAGATCTTACCAGTTTGTTGGTTATCTAATAATCCATTACAGTGTACAAAATAATCGTTGCAAAATGGCAGCAGCTGCGATTGTATGAAACGAGGGAGCAATTCAGCGATACCAGAATGGCATTAAATAATTGTACACATAATATTGAATTGAGTTTTAATATTTTATTAGCTAACCAAACGCAAAGCTTCCACCGAAAAAAAAACTGTTCCTTGCAAGAATATAGCGCAGACTTCAGTTACCCGGATGAGCCTGTGTTATCAGCTTTTATCGCTTGTTACATACCTCAGAATGTCTCAACTGACCAATCAGAAAAAAGTATTCCACTGAGCCGTGTAATAAACTGATGTAAAATATAATATTTTAAAATGTAAGTAAAAATGTTTCCCCTTTTAAGATTTTAAATATTGGCTATCTGTGCTAGGGGCACCGAAAGATCATTTTAATTTCACAAGATGATTGTACCCTGAAAATGACCTTATATAAGTTGACCCTCTAAACGTCATCTACAATTTCCTCAATGTTCCTTTTGTCCGCTTCCAGACATTAAAAGCTCTTAAATGATGAAGACACCACCAGCTGCTCCCAGCATGAGCTGAACGGTATATTCTGGAATATTGAGATGAAACAGCAATGTCTGTCCATGATTCAGACAGAGCAAATTGACATCTTTAAGGGTTTCTTAGTTAAAATACTCTTGCTCTCCCTGCTATTCAGTCATCTCAGGAACATCTCTCTATGTATCTGTGCGAAGTTTAAAGGCAAGCCGAGGCTTTGATGGTAATTACCGGCCTGCGATTTGTGCTGCCCACTGAGACAGTAGTAGAAAGTGAGCGAGAGAGAAAGACTGATGAAGTTGTGGTGTAATCCGGATGGCTGTGGTGCTAAAAGCATCCCAGTGCCATTCTGACAAAGAGATCAACTCTAATGCAGTGTAATAATGGACTTCACGTTAAACAACTCACACTCAAAAGGGAATTTACCAAGACTGAAAATAGTTCTGCCTCTACCTGCCAAATGACAAAGATAATGACACTCTATCTGATGACGGTGATGAGATTTACCAAAATGTGATGAGGGTGATAAACTCAATTTTTACATTTTCTGATAAAATGTTTATACTGTATATATATATATATATTGGTATCGAGTCATCTATGCACTATGTGTTGGCAGGACATGACTTTGCGGTTGCTAGGGTGTTTTGTGTGGTTAAAAGAGCCCATTCCCAAGTCTCTATGATATTTGAGTTTCTCAGTGCAGTTCTAGGGATGGGAATCATAGAATATGTTATATTAAAATATTTTATTTCATATTCAGTTCCTTAACAGTTCCACTGACAATTATTTTTGGTACTTGTTAGGAGCAAGCATTTAAGAAAAATATAAAACAGAATTTCATTGCTTCATGATGAGAGGATTTCAGTAATAAAAAAGTCTTATAGAATTTTAAAAAAACAGTCGGTAGCACTTTACTATAAATGTCCTTAGTTATATACATTAATTAACATGAACTAACAAATTTTTTTCTAAAGCATTAATTAATTATAGTTAATGTTAATTTAAATATGTATTAATAACTTTTTTAAATAAATTAACTTGTATCTGTTGAGATTATTTAATGAACCTGAGCTAACATGAACTAACAATGAACAGGTGCATTTTTATTAATAAACATTTAACAAAGATTCATAAATACTGTAAAAAAAATCATTTTTAGTTAATGCATTAACTAAAGTTAACTAAGGAAGGTTATTGTAAAGTGTTTCCAAATGAAAAGGGTGTTTTTACACATACATTTAGATATATTACATATAAATTAAAATTCTAAACAAGCAAGAATTTTGATATTTCATTTATTTATTCTTATAAATTATTACTGAAAATATGAAAAGTGTTGCACGCATTATATGAAAATTGACACTTTACTTTAGTGAATATTCTGTATCATAGCAACCAAAGAAACACTGTGCCTTCTTACAAGAACATGGGAAACAATGTAAACACAATAACCATATGCCAACTCAAGTGTATATACAGTGGGTACGGAAAGTATTCAGACCCCCTTAAATGTTTCACTCTTTGTTATATTGCAGCCATTTGCTAAAATCATTTAAGTTAATTTTTTTTCCTCATTAATGTACACACAGCACCCCATATTGACAGAAAAACACAGAATTGTTGACATTTTTGCAGATTTATTAAAAAAGAAAAACTGAAATAACACATGGTCCTAAGTATTCAGACCCTTTGCTCAGTATTTAGTAGAAGCACCCTTTTGATCGAATACAGCCATGAGTCTTTTTGGGAAAGATGCAACAAGTTCTTCACACCTGGATTTGGGGATCCTCTGCCATCCCTCCTTGCAGATCCTCTCCAGTTCTGTCAGGTTAGATGGTAAACGTTGGTGGACACCCATTTTTAGGTCTCTCCAGAGATGCTCAATTGGGTTTAAGTCAGGGCTCTTATACAGTATATACGTGCTTTATAGCCTTTGTTTTTTTCATTCGCTCTTCATTAGATGCTTTTTCCTGTACATTTTTTGCACACATCGTTTAACGTCTTTCTCAAACTTCATTTAAATAACCGAATATTCGAATATTCATTTTTATGAGCTCAAATATTTAAATGCAATATTTTTTTTTTAAATGCCCATCCCTAATGGTTTTTCAGTGAACTTTTGTTGGAAAAGTCTAGCCATTTCGATAAGATTCCACTCAAATGGCAATTTAACATGAGGGCAAAAGATTTCCCCACATGGATTCGCAAAAGTTTAAGTTGGTCTCATGAATTGTGACCACTGTGTGTTTTTGATTCATAAAAAGAACCAGCTTATAAGAGGCATTCGTCAAATGAACTCCTTTTTATCGTAGATTCAGTTGCGGTGCAGCTGAATACAGTAAACCGTGCACATATCCTGTCAAAAGTATTTTGGTAAGGTGTTCTGTTCAGTTTACCGAAATGTTAACAGAGCTTAGTGAACAATTGTTGATCTTGTTTGCTCAGTAGGGTTGGAGTAGGGGGTGGATTGAAGGTGTGTGCGTGTGTGTGTTCTCGGCGGGAGGTGGGACAGATCTGCGTTCTCTCTTCTTATCCCAGACAGATAGGAGCAGGGGGTCTGCACATATTCAGAGCCGTGTCTCCGCTGTCAGTGCTCAGACGTCTATAATTTCAACCTGCTGATCTCCTGACGAATATGTACACAATGCGCAAGAAGCTGAACCAAACGATTAGCAGCTCAAATGACATGAATACAGCCGTATGTGAATTCTTAAACATGTTTCTCCCCAATCCGACTGCAAAAAAAAAAAAACAAAAAAAAAAAACAGAAGATTTTGAGCAGTGTTCGGGTAGTGTTGGTGCTTAAGAGGTGTGCATCCGTGTTGAGAAGCACAAGGAAGAATTTTACACGCTGTGTTTATAGCTCTTGCCTGGTGGAAGAGGAGAGCTGTCTTGTAAAGTATTGCCTATGGTAATTTCTCTTAATATTTAACCACGCGTGAGGAGCAGACGTGCCATGCAAACGCAATACAAGACTGTGTGCATTCTGTGAGAACGGCCCAGTGTGAACAACAGTGCATTTGCGTTTGCTTCAGATTACAATGGAGTTGGGGTCGAGGCGACACATGCAGACACATTATACAGGCCCTCTGGGAACATGTCACTTGCGAATCCTTAATTCAAGCATGGAAGCTTTTGTTCCTTCGCCTGACGTTAACATGAGCAGGTTTTAATGAATCTCTTATGAAGTGTATGCTTCATTTTAACGTCAGCGGCAGGGACAAATGAGGTCCTTATAGAGCTGCTCAGCTGGGGTCGGGTTTGCTCACGACAGTAGTTTCAGAGTTGTTTAAGCTATTAAAGGGAGCGTATTATGGATAACAGGAAATTCCTTGCTTTTTCACAGTATGATGGAGTGCAATGTAGATTGAGCTCCCTCTCCAGTCCACTCAGACTATTTATGGAAACGAAGCAGCTTGATCAAAATGTTCACATTTATGACATAGGAAAAGCAATGACACATTCTAAACCATATAAGCATGGCTCATGTCACGTGCACCCAGTAGTACATAACCCAGTGTGAAACAGCATTTGCAAACCATTTTACTTCTATTCTAATGTATTTCAGTCTAAAACAGGATGTTTAATAAGAACACTCTCCTAGAGCACGGCCGCTGGTGTAACCTCATGATGGACGTTTCGGCGGCGGGACTGCATGTGGCGGAGAGAGTCGGTGGCGTGCTGGGTTCAGACACGGATGTGTGACTGTGGTGTTTGCCTAGTGGCTGTGTGTGTGACAGAAAAGCGCTTTGTGGCATCCATTACCATGCCACTGAGGCACGACAAAAAGCTTCTCTCTCTCTAGTTCTACATTCCCTGTCCAGCCTTCAGGGAATCACCATTCATTCAACCTTAACTTCAATATACACACAACACAAGGCATGTTAGCCTCCCCATTTACACACTAGCCATCTAGGCACATATAAATGAGCGCATGCTTCTGTTGATTTTGTTCCCTGTTGATCTCTGTCTCCCAGCGAGTGATAATGAGACTGCTATCGGATCGCAATATCTCTATACCCTGCTGTGATTGGTAGTGGCGTTGTGAGTTGCGAGTTCATGTTCGTCCCATTGCACGCCACACCAGTCGTTGAGTATTGTTCACTCAAACCAAACGTCTCTTCTCAGGGGTGCTTAAATCAAAACACTGCAATGAGCTCTTGGGTTCTCTACGGACTGTATTACAAGTCCATTAATACAGTCTTCCAGGGGTGTTTTGAAGTCCTCATTGGCCAGGCCATCACTGCTCTCATTGGCAATATATTTGAAAGGCATGAAATCAGACAAATGGGCTAATGGTGGGACAGACAGTGTCAACAGTGCCTTTTTTGGGGGGGTTGGACAGCTTAGGCTGCACTATTATCACATGTGTAGAATTCCTGCACAGATATTTCCAAATCGGCTCCTTTGAACAGGATTCCTAGTGTTAGGTTTGGAATATGGGTCAGTGGGCTGGCAATATACTTTATTCTTTGTGCGTCGTCGTCGCTTCGCATCAAACCAATCGACTTTCTCCATCTGTTTATCTTGATTTCAAGGAAAATGTTTGTGCGTTTGAAAATCAGAACAAGAAACACTCAAGTGGAAAGCTGTGTAATTCAGCAGTTCTCGTTTTATCATGTCACCAGGCCAGCCATATGTTGGGCAGGCATTGTTGGATGGAACTGATAAGCATTTCAATCAGAGGAGGATTATGGGTAGAAATCTGCAGATTGCGTCCTCTCAAGGATTGAGTGGCTTTAAAACGCTAAACGCACAACTCATCCGCAGCTTAAACATCTAGTTTGGTCTGTGTCTCTTTTTGGACTAACAACAGACACAACAAGAGGAGAAAAACAATTCTAGGACAAAACAGAGACTAATCTCAAAGCTACAGCTGCTCCATTTTGCTGTGTACAAAAAAACTAAAATGTTCATAATCAAAACAAGCAATAATCACACAAAGCAAATATGTGTGTTTGCCCATGCAAGTCACAGCCCTGATGATAGAGTGTTGTGGGGGGTTGCTAGGGTGTTGCTATGCAGATTCTAAACTATCCTGAGTGTTTTATCGTGTTTACTGCAAAATCCGGAGTGTTTATCAAAGTAATAGCATAACTCTATACACTCAAACAATATTGAATCTTATGAGTTGGCAGTATACAGTAATAGTATACAGTATAGTGGCCGTGCAGTTATACAGTATAGGGGCACCAGTGTAGACTTAGACTGATTCCTGAAAGAAAGACCCTGTGAGTCAGTTCTTTTTAGTGAAGACAAACCATGCAGCACTTCTTTTTAGTAAATGAGGAACATAGTATGACTGGTGTAGGCTGATTGCTGAAAGAATAACTCTTATGATTCATTTTTTAAAGAATCAAACACTCACTGTGTTGTTTGTAGGGCTTGTGAGATCAGTGTATTTATTGACTGTTTGTTCAAATTACTATGTGTAGTTAAAGACAGGCATTATGAGTTCCCCTTCAGGAACTCGAGCTGCGTCGAGTCGCTTTGGGAACGCCCTTGCGTGACCGCGTTCTGAAGCACGTGTCAAATCCGTCCAATGGAGCAGCGAGACGTCACGAGCAGGGTGAAGTAAGCACCAGAAAGCATAAAGGCACATCCGGCCGGGCGCCACCCAGCTTCTGCTCTTCAGTAGCGCTCTGTGTATGTGTCTGTCTATTTACTGTTGTCTGTCCGCACAAGCACTCATATATATAAAACAATGAGAAAGTCTATGGCGAGCGAACGGCATTACAAACGCTGTGTTTCTCCCTGCCCACGATATCTGGCGGCGACTCGACGCAGCGTCTCGTTCCCTCGGGGAACCATGGTTACATACATAACCTAGAGACGTTTTTTCTCAGTTACATGAGTGGTAAGTTGTATTTTTATAAAAATAAATGCACAAATCAAATGTGCAGTTATAGCTGATTATCTGATTAAAAATCAAAAGAATCATTTTTATTTATTTCATCATTTGGCAATGGTATTTTATTTATTTTTCATTTATAAGTATATTTTGTTTAAATAGTTCTTTCTCAAATACAAAGAGATTTGTTAGCAGAACTGAACCCAATTCAAAAACCTAACAATATAAGCATCAGTAATCAGCACTATTTCATCAAACACTACTAACTAGATAAAATGCTTGATCTCAATGTATTTTTGTGCTTCCTGTTTTTCCAGAGAAAGAGACATTTCTAGAGCCCTTCGTGCTTAGAGACTTGTTGCCGTCCTCTATCGGGAGCTACTACCGTTACATTGGCTCTCTGACCACACCGCCCTGCAGTAAAGTGGTGGAGTGGATCGTCTTCAGTCGCCCCGTGTTCCTCTCCTATAAACAGGTGAGTCTGTGCCACACATATGAAGGTGTTTTGAAGTTATTCGTGCTATTTGAGTCTTTAAAAACATTTCTTTTAAGACGTATACCAAATTATACCAAACAAGATTGGGAATTTATTATGCATCTGTACTCAAAGCAAAGCTCAAAGTCACTATTCCCATAATAAAGAAGTTAAAACTGTTTGAGATTTATTAGACAGAGCTCATGAAAAACACCTGGGGTTTGGGACAAGAGCAGAACAGTATGAGAAATAAAAGAAAAGAGAAGTGTGTGTAATAGCTTTTATTGTTCTAATGGACCCTGCAAGACTTCAGACTTTCGTCACACTGCCTCTCCATTAATATTCATCACCCAGCACCGCTTGCACACATACATCCTGTCCTCCCTCTCGGCAATGCTCCTGAGCTCTGATTGATAAGGAAAACTCTCAAACTCAGCTTTTACATTGTAATATAACAAAACCAACCACCAAAAATGGGGCATCTTCATGCTAACAGGCTGCATGAACAGTGAAGGTCAGGTGAGTTTCCAGCAAAGTGTAGGGGAAAGAGGCCACCACAACCACCACTGCTGGACTCAGATACCAAACAAAGAGGGTTTATACCGTACAGACAGGAAACACAGTGACTGTTTATGAAGGTTGTTCTCTGTCAGAAACCGATCCATCTCTGGCTGCTCTGTGACTTCTGATCTCACCGCGTGTTAAAAGAGAAACGGCAAACAGAGGCTTTGCTCTCACGTATAAAAGATGAAAGGATATCTGTATAAACCTCATCTGGCCTTGTAAGTTTCCATGTTATTTCAAAGTCTTTTCAAGGTTTGTGACCATATGGTGTAAGACTTTGAAATGAAAAAAGCAATATTTTAACCAGAAATAGACAGACAATGCATATTTAATTTGACGCACAAAAACGAGACTGCAATGGACTGAAGTACCAAATTTCAGTGTAAATCATTTGTAAAACTATACATTGCATAATTCGTAAATGGCCCTCCAAATGCTGTTCTGCTTGTTTATCTTGAATGGGGCTCAGTATGCTGTACTATTGTGAACCTGACTGTCCAACATTCAGCCAGCACAGTACTGACAATACATCATTTTTGTCCATTTAAAATTCATAGAAACATGTCGGGTACACAAGGCAATAACACATTAACTATAATTTTGAGAAGATGTAAAACAAAAATTATAAAAGTTGTACGTGTTTGTACAATCCAGTATTGTGGTCATGAGAGTTTGTTAGTCAAAATGGATGATTCATGACTAGTCTTTCAGCAATTGGCCAGTCAATTAGTGACGTTGACTATTTCGTATTGTGTAGTCTTTATATTTTGTAGCATGATACTTTAATTGGCATTCTGATTGTATGTTTTAGCTGGTAGCTAAGGTTTGCACCGCAAAACCTTTCAAAAACGTTGTATTTTCAGTTCATTACCTTTAAAAGCACTGCTGCTACAGTCATACACATTCAGATGCATGTATTTGACATCTGTGTCATGTTTTGCACAGTTTAAGTATGCCGCCATCAGCATTGTGTGGTTCTGAGCTAAAAATGAGTTACTTTACAAATACCCCAGTGTTGTCTGTCTAGCCATTTTTGAACAAAGAACGCATTTTATGTAAACACACCACAAAGAAACCCATAGATGTGGGTCAGGTAAACCAGAAACCAGGTTAGTTATTCCAGGCTAGTCGATTTTGAAAAAATTTTGTTAAATTTAAATTGCTTTTAAATGTTGTGACAGATTGGCATGTACAGTATATGGCTGCCCGAGGCCAGCATGAAAGACGCTCGTCACGAAAGCTTATCATTTGCATGTGTATTTAAGCCTTGCCAATTTAAACATCCAAGAGATTTTAAAGCATTCAAGCACAAGAGGACGCGAAAGAACAGATCAGGCTAATGGGCAAACATCTTATAGTTTAAACAATTTATGACATGCTATGAAGGCATTTACATGACTGTACATATAGTCAACTTATTATGTATAATCACTGAAAAATGTGCAATAATAGCCCAGATTTTGTCAGAGGTGTGAGTCACCATCTGTACCCAAATGTTCAGAGCCTGTCAGATCAAAACTGCAGGAAGTGATACGTGTAACGGTCACAGCTCAGCAAGCATTCTACAGGAAGACACAGTCCCTTCCGTAGAGCCATAAACGCTGCCCACAGAAGCTTTCTGCTCTCATTTGACACCTCTTAAAGTTCTTTTGTTCCCTTTCGTCTCTGGGTGATTTTGTTTGAAAGGAAACACTGCTGAGGCAGATATAAGTGAGTCTATGGAGGAAGACAGTTGTCCTTCACTCCCCATTTTTCTTGCTCCTTTGTTCTTGATCAAAGCAGGAAGTAGGTCACGGAGACTGACAGACAGAGCTCTGGGGCGCCATAAGAGCTGATCGATGCTCAGCCAGTCTACTGCATTTGCAACATCTGCATAGGAGCATAGGTGGACATAACACACACACACACATCTTGCAGTTTGCCCCAAGAATGCCCTGTTGCTGTGGTTAGCCATAAGAGATTACTCAACCATCAGACTCCCAACATGTCTTTTAAGCAGTGACGTATACACACACAGAGATGTGTGACCCAGAACAGCCCTGCTGCCGTGATTTCCCACCAGGGATTACTTAACCTTCATATCCATGATGGACAGTCATCGCATAAACACACACACACACAAATCTGTCCCGGATTACTACTGCACTAAAAATTGTACACAATAAGATGTGTGCATTTGTGTCCGGTGCCCAATCCCAATAAGAAGTTTACAAGCGCGGTTTTGGCGTTTGAGAGATTAATAGATGAGGATTGTGATTTAGAGATTATTCGAGAGCGCCATATTGATGCAGTGGATCTCAGTGCGGAACCCAAATGCACAGGAAATTATGTCATAAATCTGACTCTGTGGTGTATTGGTGCTGGAATATAGGATTTGACAGTGCTCTTGAAGGTTTCCATTAGGGGTGGGTGATATGTCCAAAATATGTGATATATATCGACAATATTTTTATATGTATCGATATAGAGATAATATACTGTATGTCATGAAGTAGATATTTTTGCTGGTTTTTATGATACCATTGAAATTTATGAATTTTGTTATCCCATCTAAAAAAAGTATATATATATATATATATATATATATATATATATATATATATATTAGTGCCTTTCACGCTTAGTAACACATACAGCTGTTCCCTCACCACAGTGCAACACCCCTTTCAAACAGTGTTGCGTTCCGAACGTTGTTTAAGCGACATACACCAGTATTGAGGTATTTTAAAAGTTCATATCATAACAAAAATAAACACCGGTGTTCAGTGTCTAATAAAACTCTCTTTTGTGCAGAACTACTTCCTTCCGCCACGGATTCAAAGCTCAAGTTGACAATTAAACATACGTCACTTTTAGAATTCGTATCAAGGGCATGTGCTGCTTCAGTTAGGTTATTAGTGAGAAATAATGAGGTTATAAGAGAGAAACAATGCGGCAAGACGTGCATCCAAATGAGAGAGAGAGAGACCGCGAAGCTAGATGTTTCTTCTTATATTAAGTAACGTACTCTACGATTAGCTCAGTGAATAGTAAACAAAAAAACATAGACCTGGCTAGAACAAGCGGAGTGATACAAAATTGTGAAAGGGCATTCCTGTAGCGATACCAGTACAATATCTCACGGTTCTCAACCAATCAGATTTAAGAACCATAACGAACTGTTGTATAAATATATACAGGTGCATCTCAATAAATTAGAAT